AAAAAAAAAAAAAAAAAAAAAATTGCCACTTAAGGACTCCTCTGTCATTGCCATGTATTTGTTGGGCAAACATTTGTTGCCCAAACACTGTTTGTTGACTGGTGTGAGGAGGATGAATAATGCACCATGTTTGGCTCCAGGGAGTTCCTATTCTGGTAGGGGGAGACTGATTCATGAACAGGCAGCAAGAAAACCTTCTGGTAAGTGTTTTGCTTGGGGAAGAAGTCCATCCAGGGGATTGTGGGGACACAGAGCAGCTTTACTGACTTTACCATTATAGAATCCTTCAGACACTACATATCAGTCAGCTTTATGGGAGGAGTTGACATTAGCTGGGTAGAAAAGAGAAGAAAAATGGGCCTTTTAGATTCAGTACTGTGGGTGTCCCTAGCCAAGAATAGAGGACTGATTGCTTAATCCAGTTCCATTTAATTTTTGCCAAAAAGTACAATAAGCAGTTTAAAATGTTTTCTTTTCTTCCAGATCTTTTATGTCTTTTATAAAAAGTGTGGTCAGTGGTGCAACGCAGTACCTAATTGAATTCATTACATTGTCCACATATAGTAAGATGACTTAAAATGGTCTTGAGAAACCTAAAATTCATCTGGGAAACTACATTGTAATTGAAGAAATGATTAGATGATTGTAGTGACTTAGATCATTGTGGTGGTTTGTTAATGTAAACCTTGATGTCCTTATTTTATCTAAATAACACAGAAGCATTAAATATATATGCTTAGAGTCTTGAAGAATATATTTTAGATTATTTTTGTCTCAGTTTTATCTAAACTAATATAAACTAGCTTGAAACTAATTTTCGACATCTTTTTATATAACAGGAGGAAATAAACTGGGCACTTATAGGGGAAATATGAGTAAAAATTTAAAATCGATGTCCTAAAAAAAAGAATAGGGCTGGGGATTTAGCTCAGTGGTTTGGTGGCCTGCCTTGCAAGCGCAAGGACCTGAGTTCAATCCCCGGTACCAATCAATCAATCAATCAATAAATAAATAAAATAAAATAAAATAAAATAAAATTGATGTCCTGTTTTTGAAATGCGTCAGTTATGTGGCTATTAAATTATGCCTTTAAAATCTAATAGCAATATTAGATATAGGGATTTAACTTTTTATTTTAAGGGAAACAGTAACATCAACAAAGGTAAGCATGTAGTTTTTATCAGATTTAATATTCTAGAATAGATATAAAATGTGTGTGTGGTCTGGATAATCACATGAAACATTTCCTATTAAAAAAGAAGACTATTTCCTTTTAAGGTTATGAGAAGACAGATGATGTTTCAGAGAAGACCTCACTGGCTGACCAGGAAGAAATAAGGACTATATTCATTAACCAGCCTCAGTTAACAAAATTCTGCAATAACCATGTCAGGTAAGAATTACCAACGATTGTCATGGAGTAACCATCATTGCTGAGTGAAACAGGTCAAAATGAAAATGTTTGTAAGTAGCTTTTGGTTCACTCAGTATTTGCATGCTCCATGGCAATGCCAGGAGGCTGCTTCTCCATATTCCAGCCAATAAAGAAATGTTAATCAGAATCTGGAAGTAGGAAGGAACAGAAAAGCCTAATAACCATACTTTACCAGTTCTGTTTATGGTGTCTGAATGTGAAAGTTGCTCATGGGTAAATGCCATTGTTCTTCTAAACCTAAGAACAGAGCAATGCATTGTTTCGGGTTAGTAAGTTTAACATCTTAACAGAGATTTTTGCAGTTATGCACCAATAACTTTTATTATTTATTTACTTTGCTAAACAGTCTTTAAATACTGGGTTTTGGTGGCTGTAAAATTTAGTATGATGCTGAGGAATGGAGGGTTGTAAGAAAAACTTCACTTCCCTGTCATAGTTTCAGTCCAACAGTTATATAAAAAGCAGCCCCATAGGCTGGGCAGGGTTCTGTGTGCCTAGAATCCCAGCTCTCCAGAGGCTGAGGTAGGAGGATCACCACAAATTCAAGGCCAGCTTGGGCTACATAGTGAGTTCAAGGCCAGCCTGGATAACATAGCAAGACTTTGTCTCAGAAAAAGCATCCTTTTCAGCACTAGACCCTAAGTGGCCCCTGGGACCAAGTGAACACTCGGTGCTCGCCAGTGGCAAAATTTCCAGATCTTAGTTGTACTCATTTAAAATTAATATTTACAACTTCAATTTCTTGAGTTGCATTTCCTTATTTGGGGAGTGTGATAGGTCTCCCCTATAATCTCCCTTCTATTTTATAATCCAGAGGAAGTTCTAGATCGCTCCAAAACAAAAGTGGCCATACCCTTAGTGATAGGGGCAAAATGCAGCCTCCTTGCAAAGTAACTGAGGTGACATGATGATAATTCGAGCAGAATGCCGGAAAATTTCCCATTTCCCTGAAGTTATCCAGAAAGCTATCCCTGTTTTAGTGCCTGGTCCTATTCTAATTGCTGATTGTTTAATATTACTGTGTTGACACTCTGTTTTTTGTAAATTTGCACTTTTTTGTAAGCTATTCCTGGTAATGTTAGGGAAAGAATTGGCTAAAGAAGACAAAAGATAGCATACAGAAAATTCACTCTACTATTTATTTCCTTTCACTTTTTCCTTTAAGTTAATTCTTTGAGATATTACCCCAATTTGAAACAGTGAGCAAATATTCATCATATTATTTTGTATGTGGTTGTTAACAGAATTTTGTCAGTGTGGGTGCTGTTTATAAAGTAAATGAGTTATGCTATTTTTCATTTTTGTTTTTTAGCACTGCAAAATACAACGTAATCACATTCCTCCCAAGATTTCTCTACTCTCAGTTCAGAAGAGCTGCTAATTCATTTTTCCTCTTTATTGCACTGCTTCAGGTAAAATCACATTATAAAATCTCAGTTCAAGGTCAAATGCTCAGATCTTAGTAGATGTTTTTTTTTAGGCCCGTGACTGATCCCCTAAGGTTTACCTAAATACGGAGATAACCTGCCTTTGGTGGACATTTCCCTCTGCTGCTCCAAGTAGCGTGAGAATTATACCTCTTCACACCATTTGATTCATTTCTTTCTAGCTTTTTATAGATGTTCTGTATATTTGATGTGGAAAGTATTATTCATTTCAGGTGGTAAAGGAGGTTGGAACTTTTTTCTAAAACGTTAGTTCAGCTTTGATGCGGTAAAAGTAATGTTCTGAACCTTAGAATGCAAAAGTCACCACTTAAAGAGTTTTAATAAATGTTTTAGAAAAAAAAATATTTTACTAAAAAGAGGCATATGATTATTGTTAAAAAAAAAGCTTAAAAAACAGCGCACAATAAAAAGATAGTTAATACTTCTATTAGTCTCTTATCAGAGACAACCATTAAAATTAGAATGTATATGCCTCTAGTATTTTTCCCCTCTAAGCATTGCTTAGATTTAGATAACAAAAAGAAATTATAGTGTACATATTGTTTTATAATTTGCTTTTTTCATTTGATAATGTGTGGATATTTTCCTAGTTAATCATTGTACTTTAAGGGCTTGGGGAGGTATTTTGTTTTTTATTTTGTTTTTTGCTGTACTGGGGATTTGATGATTATATGATATTGTATAACTATGCTGTTATTACTTAGAGAATTGTCCATTGTAGGTGTTAATCTAGTACATATTCTGTATGCTTATCACGTTGCTAACATGCTTCTCTGGCTACTTATTAGATAAGGCAAGTTATCTTAACACTCAGTGTTAGCCAAGATCATGAAATGAATGAGGCATATTTTAGAAGACACTAAGACTGTGCTGTTTCAGACTTACTGTAAGTTTCCTGGTTCTCATTAGATTTCTCTTGCTGTTTTGTTTTTTCTTCAAATAGCAAATACCTGATGTGTCTCCAACAGGTCGTTATACAACACTGGTTCCTCTCTTATTTATTTTAGCTGTGGCAGCTATCAAAGAGATAATAGAAGATATTGTAAGTATTTAAATTTTTTCATAAATGTGACCGATATATATATATATTGAATATTTTTTCTTAATTTGTGGCACAGGCTGTTTAAAATATTCATTGACTTTAGTGTATGGAATATATTCCTACTACTTAGATTAATTCTTGCTAGATTAATATGTTCCTATCCCTTAAGTTAATTCCTAATAGCTCATTAATGTTCCCTTTTGTTTATAGTGTAATAATAAAAATAATTTGAATGTAATAATGGATATAAAAGAAAACTGTATTAGAACATTATTTTCAAAGTAACCTAAATTAAACAATTTATGTATTTTTCATTTTTAAATGTAAATGCCATAGTTTTCACCATATTAAATACTTTTGATTCATTCTCATCTTACTAGTTCTGAGTTTCCTTTCCATTTATCTTATTTTATTAAAAGAAAGTAACCTCATAGTTGCTATTTTTAGCATTCTGTAGTAGAAAAGAAAATGAGAAGTCAGTTTCCCCTTTCTAAAATAAACCTTCCCCTTCAAATTCCCCTTTACTAAGATAAATGCCCCCAGTATTTTACCTATTTTAACTGGCTTACTTGAGGAAACAGATTTCTGGTAGGGTATTTTTCCACAATCTTCTAAAATACTTCCTTGTCCATTCAAAATAACCTATCAAGCATTAAGATAATCAAATGGCAAGACTGGGAAAGTGCCTGGAAAGGTCCAATTTCTCATTTCACAAATAATATCATTTGTGTAACATTATTTCATTAACCTTTATTAAGAGAAGACACGAGCCATAATATCCCTAGGCCCATTAGAAATGGGGCAATTGAGCATTCAGGTGAGCAGTCTTGCAAATGTGTAAGAGCAGATACACAGTCTGTGTGGGTGCCTGTGTGTAGGGCATCCTTATCCTCTTCAAAGGAAGCGACGTTCTTCAGAAGCCCAAGCTGGGAAATTTAAGAGATTCTCTTTTTCATCTGTGTTGCTCCATGTAAACTTTCCGTCCTTTAATTTATTGGTTGGATTTGGCTGTCTGTAGGAATAGATCTTACTATAATTTTGTCTTTCTTTGCCTTCAAATGTCTACCTTTTCTTTCTTTGTTTAACATAATTTTTATGGAGCACTTGTTATTTACTAGGCATTAGGCTGTTGCTTTTGCTAAAGATTTTCTCACTTAATTCCCTCAATAACTTAGAAAGCTTGTTTGTTAAACTCTGTCGGAAGGTAAATAACGGGGGTTTAAAAGAGACATGTAAGTGTCTGAGAAAATGATGGAATCACAATTCCATCTCATGTAAAGCTCTTTGCTCTCTATCTGTGCAGAGTCATCGACAATAATATCAATATTTTTTCTGCTTCTAGATTCCAGGCATTGTTCCATGTTACTTATGTTTATTAAATCTTATAACAACCCTGTAAGGTATGCTTGATCCCCATTTAGTAGATGAGGCAGAGAAAGCAGAGGGATAAGGTAACTTGTCCAAGTCACATAGCTGATAAATAGGCTTGTTAGATTTCAAGTCAGGGATTTTGGCTCTGGAGCCCTGCTTTATAAGTGTGCTCCTAAACTGCCTCTCCTATTTGTGTGTGTGTGTGTGTGTGTGTGTGTGTGTGTCTGTCTGTCTGTCTGTCTGTCTATCTTTCTGACTGTGTGTTTGCATACACCCATGCATATGTGATTCTATAGTAAAGCTATAAACAGTCTAACAATGGTTTCTAAAACCTCTGTCTTTGAAAATACACAATAAATAAGATTCTATCCAATAATTTTGTTTTGTTTTGTTTTTTGTTTTTTGAGACAGGGTCTCACTATGTAGTTGAGACTGACGTGGAACTCACTGTGTAGCCCAGGCTAGTCTCGAACTCACAGCAATCCTCCTGCCTCAGCCTCCCGAGTGCTGGGATTATAGGCATGCGCTACCACACGTAGCCTTCTATCCAATAATTTTTAAAACACATCTGTTGGCATAATATAACAATTTGGTACTATTAGAAAAAAACTAATCATGCAATCTCTGGAGGGTGTAATAATGCATTGTAAGGTAATTATCATGTCAGATGAATGTGCTTCCCAGTGAAATTAGTGTTAAAAAAAGACTGAAAATTCTCTAAAGAGTTGTTTAATAAGTTTATATCAAACTGTAAGGTGATAAAAGATTTGAAATGTTGCTGTCTGGAAAAGGGGGAAAAAACAATACTTTAGGTAGTTGGACAGAGAGTTACCTATCAGAAATTATAATGAATACATACATTTGTGCAGCTATTCAGCAAAAATGTAGGGAGCACTGCTTAGGAGGCAGGCATTCAGTAGGATATACATTAGACTGCGTTAAACATTTGCTGTGGTAATGATCATGTTCCATTTGTCAGCAGCTTAATACTTAAGTCTTTCGCTTACATTTGTTTTTTACTTACTTGAAGATTCTGCAGGTCCTGAGGGTCGGCAGCAGGCAGTTCCCCTATTCCTGTGGTCCCTAGGGGACACAACCTGAGTCAAGTTTCTGCTCTGTGGCATGTTGGTGGTTATTGGAGCAGGGGGAGAGGGAATGGAGATGTCATTTCTTACTTATTTTAGCCATAAATGTTGCGTATCACATCTGCTTACAGCCAAATATTAGAACTGGCAACATGGAAAATAGGTGTTATCTGAATGTCCCTGAAAGTTAAGAAACTGAATACTGGCAAAAGCTAATAATATCTGCCGCTTGTTCCTCAGTGAATAAAACAGACCTTACAGTCTAGTAAACCTTCCTTCATATACTGTTAAGGAACATCATTTTTAAAAATTTAGAATACAACATGAGAGTTGTCCACAGGTGAGATAGTTAAGACAAATCCACCTGGTGAATTTTAACTCTTCTTACATCTGACAACATAACATACTAGAGTCTCCCATATTTATGTGTAAGTAACAAATGACATGTATACTTACTTGAAAAATACTCTAAACTGATAAACTTTTCTTTTTTAAAAAGCTGTATCCTGGTAAAAGCAAATTTTTATGGTAAAGATCAAAGTTGCTTGTTAAATTGATAGCTGTCAGTAGAAACATTTTCTTTGCTATAAACTTCTTAATTTAAACACTAGTGGACTGTATTCATTATAAAATGAATACTTGTCCAAAGGCTACAGTATGCCAATGATCAAATACTGGGAATGTACTAGTGAGTAAATGTGGCCTTTGTTGGTCTTACAGTCCCATAGAAGAAACAGATATTAATCAAGTGATCATACTGGGCTGTGATGTGAATCAAATGATGCACATGAAGTCCTTAGAACAGCACCTAGTGTATAGTAAAGTAATAAATAAATGTCAACTATATTGTCAACATACAAAGATCCTTTTGGCTAAGTGGCAAATAGGTTAGAAGAATATTGCTTGTAGTTGGTATGAAAAATGAAGCTATGCTAGACTAAGTGATGTGTAGAAATAGTAAAAAGTAGGGAAAGGTATTTGATTCAGATCTAAGAATAGAGTTGATGATACTTGCCTACCATCTGCCATGTACGGTCTTCATTCAGCTCATATTTGATCTCCAGCCACTAGACTGTAAGCTCCACGAGAGCAAGAGCTTTGGACTCTTACTCACTGCTGTACCCTCACAAGTAGTAGCAAGGCCTGCCACAATATAGCAAATATCTATTGAGTAAATGAGGAGGTTGGATAAGAGGGTGATGGAGAAGAAGGTGCAAGGACAACTCTTAAATTCTCGGTTTATGAAAATAAATGGTCTATGGCTCTGTGCCTGAGCCAAGGATAAAGTCTTGGATGTGAAGATCACAGGTCACCTTGTGGATGCAGTTTGAGGTGTGTTTGTGACTGCCAGGGTGAGAGGTCAAGGAAGCAGCCAGATGTGACCATGTCGGGCTCAGATGAGCCTCTTGGCTGGTGTGTAAGAGAATGTAGAGTGAGTGGTGAGCACAGCCAGGGAATCAGTCTTGAGCAGTCTCATCACTGTATAGCAAGGGAGCAGAGGAAACTAGAAGGGTCCCAGGATGCAAGCAAAAAACCTGGACAGTGATGTGATAAGAAATGCCTAGGGAGGAAAGTGTTTCCATAGTGATGAACTCTGATTCCATCACTTTTTCAGGCAAGTTGTATGGCTGCTCTCAGCCTCAGCTTCCTTACCTTTAAGGGGTAACATCTTTCAAAGTTATTTAGAATATTAAATGAAAAAAATCAGCATTGCATATTTTAGTATCCTAAAGTCTTATCGCACTATTTATTTATAACTGTGATATACACTATCACATTTTTTTCTATAGTCTCCATCAAGTATCAGTAATAATAGATAGTTCACAAGCTCTCGGTCATGTTAAATGAATTTTAATTATAAGACAGTGCAGGTACTTGCAGAATAACTTTTTTTTCTCAACAGTTTTAGAAAGAATAATGATCTATTTGTAATACCAAAAAAAAAAAATGCTCTCTTTTTGTAGTCATAAGGCTAGAATCTGAATGAATTGGGAAAGATATTCCCTTGTAAGAATTCTGTGCAGGTGGAAAGCGGTGTTCAGGGTGGTTTTAAGTTACACTAAGATTAAATTTCCTGTTTGAAATGAAATGTTTCATTGATTAGTTTTTGCCTCTTTCAGGTAAAACTCTTAACATCATTTGCTATAGATATGCATTATTTTTCAAGTATCTGTGCCTCTGAAATATGTGTGCCTACTTGAATATATAAATACTGTTATTTTAGACCAAATGTTTTTTATTACTTTCTAATTTTCTCACAACCTTTATTAACAAGGAAAAGGGAGAAAGGAAGAGGGAATTTTTGGAGTTTTGCAATTATAAAATATTCTGTTGAGGCTATAAATTTAACAGAATTTGAAAAATTCACTTAAGATTATTTTTTAGCAAATCATTCTTCTGGAAGCAGTAATGTGCATATTAAAAGTATCTGTCAATACACATTTATTAGTGAGTATTGTATACTGAGAAAGAACCCTAGAGCATGTGGATGTGGTAAGAATCGTTTCAACAGCTCTTATACTGAGGCAATGTGAATGCTCTGCGTTCTGGGCATTGCAGTGGCTAAACATTTGAACAAACTGAGTTCATGATTACTCCATTCCTCTGGGGTGTTGCTGTAACTCAGAGGACAGCTGTCTGTCACTCTACACTTTGCTCTTGGAGAATATTTTCATATCTGTACTGATATTCTTCTAATAACCAAGTTTGTCCTCAGATAGACAACCTAGGTTTTTTTTTTTTTTTTTTTTTTTTTTTTTTTTTTTTTCTTAACCATGGAAAGGTATCCACCATGTGAGTGATTTTCTTAGTGCATGTTTGTGGCACATCATGAATACATTCATTGTGGGTACTTGATGCGTGTCCATGACACACCTCATTTCTTTTTACATCCCCTCCCCGTCTCCCTGTTCATCTCTTAGTCTTTCCCCTTCCCATTTGCCAAAGATCGATCTCCCTGCTTTCTATTTTGTATCTTCTCTTTTGCTCTTTGATTTATTTATGTTTTGGGTTTCTCATATGAGAGAAACCATACAATTTTTTTTTTTCGGTTTTTTGAGACAAGGGTCTCACTATGTAGTTGAGACTGACCTGGAACTCACTATGTAGACCAGGCTGGTTACTTTTATACCGACTTATATTATAGTTGGGTATGCACAGCTGAGTTTCACCTTGAATTTCGTATGATAGGATCTTTAAGCAGAGAATTACTGTCGACATTCTCGTGCACTGTTAGCAGAGTCTCATGTGTTATTCTCAGTGCTGTAAGTTTAGACGGATGCTATGGAAAACCTCTAGTTGAACCTTAGAGGAAGAAGGTCCCCTTGGCCACTCAAATTCTCATCTTTCCCCTGACCTTCTGTTTCTTTATCTTACTCCCTGCCATAAAACCCTGGCTTATGTAACTCTTCCAACTCACCTCTAACTAGGCTTAGATTAACTCACCTGTTCTACATTTAATTTTGTAGGTGCTTTAGGGAGAGATGAGAGTAGGATTTTGTGATTCAGTGGTTGTAAGTGGTGGTGGTGGGTGTTGGGGAGCAGTGAAGCGAACAGGCTGTATAAAAATGGTTGATGTATTTGGTCCTCATCACTGACAGATATCAGCTCACTACTGAATTATAGAGGATGTATGTAGCTTAACGAGATAATTTCATAGGAAGCTAAAAATGCTTCAATACCATAATTAAGTGGAAGTTGTTATAGATAATTCTCCTGGCCCATCTTTTTTTCAGTGAGTTATTTAAGCAGAAAGACTAGATCAGCCTTTCAGTTCATACTGTTCTGGAGCATTAACATTTTACTCATACCTGTACACTGACATACGATGCCACTGAGGATCACAGGCTGGTACTATGAGAAGGGAGTACTGAGTACTGCGTAAAGAGGCCGTGGATAGCACTTCTGGGTATGAACTCCTGTGTCCTGACCCTTCCCATCACAGCGTCCATCCGTTCATAGCATTGACATGGCTGGAAAAGGATTAGGAACCTCGAGAAACACATGAAATGCAATTCCCTTCTATTAGGGGTGTGCTTTTGTGAATACCATTCACCTTTTCACTGTTGTTCTTTTTGCTTTTAAACTTTAGAAACGACATAAAGCTGATAACGCAGTGAACAAGAAACAGACACAAGGTAGGAATTTTACATCTCATTTCTCATATTTATCAAGCTATATTCATAGCAGTGTCTATGGATCTCTTCAATTAAATATAACTCAATTGAGAATATTGTGTTCTCTTAAATTTTTGTTCCATGATAAGTTGTTTCTTGCTTTGAAGCATTTCTTAGTGTGACTTAAATTCAAATTAGAGACATTTATTGGTGATAGTATTTCTGAAAGGTGACGTTTTAATATATAAAAATGCCTCATAGCATTGCACTCCAAATTACTGTCCATAAAATCTGAAGTTGTTTTGACAGTGTTAAAAACTATAAAATGTGTATATTTTGTGATCTACAGCTATTACCCTAAGAAGGATATATAGAAAATAATCAGATGTGTTACTTTGTTGAAAAACATTTTGGGAGTAGTTTAAGTTACATTATGTACACAGATGAAATATTTCCTTGAAGAAAAGGAAATGATTAAAACAGATCAGCTTCAGGAAGTAGCATGACTCTTTTTTTAAATTTTTTGTTTTAGCATGACTCTTGGTATGGGTCTCGTTTTGACACATCCTAAACCAAAATGACCCTCAACACAAGCACTAAGGCCTTTATGTCACCAGATTTTTAAAAAATAATTAGAAACTTGGAAAAATGACTCTTTGTCTCATCCTGAGCTTGTGCCCTGTGAGAGTCATTTCTTTCTGAAGTTCTCTGATATGTTGAGGATCAACAGCATCTGCCTGCCTTATCTAGTAATCTAAAACAGTATTTTTATGCTCTTGTTATTTTTATTAGGCCCTGTTAAAATGCTGTGCTTTTTTCCCCTCACCACTTAAAGGCCGTATCTACTCATTTTTTATATATTTGAAGAAATCAGGTTTATTAACCCAAAATTTGAGGCATTTTTATTATAGGGATATATAAAAACAAATGGGAATTTTTAACTTTGAAGAGCTTATAGTCTGTTTATTGAGCTAAGTAGAGAAGAAAAAAAGTTATAAGGACAAATAGGAGATGATTTCCATGTAAGATTAAGGATTAGGCTACATCATCTCAGTAGCTCATTAGATTTTTGTGGCAAATGCTGTAAAAGGTCAAAAGTAGAGAGTACTGTGAAATATCTGGTGTCAGATCTTGAATTTGGGGAGTACTGTGAATAAGCAGAGAGGTGTGGAGAAGATATTTTGTGCATGGATTGCATGGGAAAGGCAGGAAAAAAGGGTGTCCTAAGCAGAGAGGAAAAGACTTACTTTGTGCATCTATGGGTCGAGTGCCCTTTCTAGGAAAGAGGATCTTATCAGAGGAAACAAGCATGTGGCCAAAGAGGCAGATTGGGCCTTAAATGCCAAGCCACAGAGATTCCAGCTTTTCTTGTATGTACTCAGTAGCTTCTGAAGATTTATAAACCAAAAAAAGAGACAGAATGAACATCTACGTTCAGGAAAGACAGCAAAACGAATCAGAGTAGGGGGCTACCAGCCGTCTGGAGGTAGAGCTTCTCAGGGGCTTAGGTCTGAAGGGACAATTATAGGAATTGAGATGGAGGAAAATCCAGATGTTTCAAGTATTTTGGCAAAATGTGGTTTTTGCTTTTGTTGCCATATTGTTCAGAATATTAACAGCTTTTGAAACAGACAGTTATAAACATTTTTCTCATCTGTGATGTTTCTTATAGCAGAGGGCCTATCTTCAGTGTCAGTTGTTAATTTTCAGGTCTTGGTCTAAGAAGTCAATGTAGAAAAATTGAAGAATGGTTGTCGTGGCTTTTACAATTTTAAGCTGTTGCTCCTGGTTCAGAAAGGACTCTAATTTTCTGGGTGCTCACTTCTGTAAATGTTCCCATTAGAGAAAGTGTTCTTTCTTTGTCATTCTTGGCTCATTAGTCCCTTTTATAGACTAACGAGATCAGCTCTACATCTGGAAATAGGGAATAAGCAAGTGAGAGAAGACTTCAAAACTAGTGTGTATTTTTCTAAGTCATTTCAAAAACAAAATATCAGGGCTGTGGATTTAGCTCAGTGATACCATGCCTGCCAGAAGCGCAAGGTCCTGAGTTCGATCCCCAGTATCGAAAGAAAGAGAGAGGGAGGGAGGAACATCAGGACTCAGCTATACAAATCATTTTGGTTAATAGAATACTTAGAAGTTCCATATTCTTGTTTAATAGCTTTTAGGTTGATACTTGAACTTGTTTTCTAGAAATTTGTATCACTTTTCTTTGCCTACTTTGAGGAACTGGTAGTTTTCTTGGTTTGGTAGTTAATAGATAATAATAAAAGTGTTGGACTAGAAATCTGTTTGCTGTCAAATAGCTCAGATTACTTAACATGAAAGCCACCTGTTGTCATCTGACCAGAATCAAATTCAGTTTGCTTTCCTGAACTGAGTCTGTGGTGGGTGTTTAGGAGTAGGTAAGAGGATATTTATGACAGGTAATCAAGTTTTGAAAGAGATTTAAACTTAAATTTTCATTTTCTAAATGTTTACCAAGACCACATAGTATGCAAGAGGACATTTCCTCCTCAGATTCAAATATTAACCGTTCTTTATTCTTACAGAAAGGAATGTTTTCTCTCTTTATTTTTGCATCAGGGCACAAGAGACTTTTTCCCTCCCTTTCTGTCATTCCTGAGTGTCTTCAGAAATATAAATTTACAATTTATTTCCAACGTTTTTAATTAATTGTACACCAGTATTTATCTGGCACCTCATTTTACCTGTTAAGTTGTGGAGTTTGTGGACCCAACCTCTGAACTTTACAAATAGTCTCTCCACTTGAGTTTATCCTCAACACCTTTTAAAGAAGAGCCACTTCCTGTCCCAGAGATATACAAGTTGGTTAAGTAAATGGTTCAGTGATCTGACGAGTGCAAAACTGTGGATTATTTTCCAAGCACCTCATTGCAGAGGAGAAGGGTGAAGTCCAAATTGGTGCTTAGAAGTTAGGAGAATGAGTGAGCCTTGACAACTTGTGGCCTCCTCTTCCCACAGAATCATGCTCGTTTTTTGTGGGTACCTGGTACGTTTGTGTGCTGGTTTATGTATAGTAGGCAGGAACATAGTGAAGCCAGGGCCAGCTTCTCACTCATCTTTGTGTTTCGGGAGCTCTCAGCTCAAGGACCTGACTTAGAGATGCTGTGCGCCTATGTTGCAAACCTCTCAGAGAGAGGCCTGAATATAGATAATGAAGGAAAAAGACTAGATAGGCAAGGAGGTCCCCTGAAAATTCATCTGGAATGAAGACAAGGGTGAAGAGTGGTATTTTTCTGACAGCCTGTCCCAGACTATTCACAAGCACTGATGAAACACTAAGGTGATAGAAGTTCTCACCACTTCATTATCTTCTCTGTCAGTCATTACTTGGTTACTTTTTTGCCCTTGATTTGCCTCCTGTGAAGAGTACTGTGTGCACTTATCACTTCTATGATTCAGAGCCCTTTAGTACTGTCAGATTTGCAGTTCTCTGGTTTCCTTACATCTAAACTTTTACCTTCAAGATATGCATGACTCAGGCCTGTAATCCCAGCAGTCTGGGAGACTGAGGCAAGAAGATTACAAATTCAAACGCAGCCTGGGCAACCTAGTGGCTTAGTGAGACCTTGCCTCAATTTTTTAAAAGGGATAGGGATGTAACTTAATGTGAAGGCCATGAGTTCAATCCACAGTACTTAAAATAAACTTACTTTTACTTTCTTTGATATTTCCTCCCTCAGTATCCTCAGTTTTTGACATGTCTTCTACACACACACACACACACACACACACACACACACACACACACACAGCAGTCTCAGTGTTTTCCCTGAACTGAGTTATTTTACCAAATGTGTCTCTACCCTTTGTAAATTATACATTTTCAGTTGTCACCATAATATGTAAATAGCAGCCTGTCCCATTATGAATTTGTGAAAGTTGAAGTAGTTCTCTTTTTAAATTGTGCAACCATGTGTTCACTTACTTGAAGTGCTAGGTGAGTTAGCATGCCAGGCTTTCATGAGAAATGACTACAATTAAAACCTTGTTTTAGCATGACAGTCAGAATACTAATATTGTATTAGAGTAAGCCTTTGTTTAATAAAGCAGTATTGTTCTGTTATTTAATTTTTTAGAGAGACACGTTGCAAAAAAACAATAACAAGTATAGTCACCCGCATCTTTCACTTCCTCCCTAGAGCTACATGGGCCTTCTCTGGCAGTCACCGGTGGCCACTATCATAGTTATTTGCCTGCAAGGCGTTTGGTGGCTTTTCTCCTGCTGGAAGCCATTTCACCTTTAATTGAAATACCCTTGTGAAAAAGCTGTTGCTGTGATGGCGGTGGGAGTCAAGGTGTTTGAAGCTGCTCAGCTTGAAATGACCTCCTAAGAGGACTGAGTCGGTCTAGTTCAGTCATGTCAGTGTTGTACACAGAGGTATCTCATGCTAAGAGATACGTAACACCACTCTCCTGATGAAACAGAGTGCTGTCTTTTGTCTCCTGTGGGTCGCTCCACAGGTGAACCATCTAGTGGGTCTGAACCTGTGTTTACTCTGTGACATGTACATCAGCCTACCCATAAATAGTTCTCAAAGTGTATTGTTTTCTTGACCGAAGGGCCTAAATTTAAGCACATATATCACCTAAGCAATTTCAGACATCTACAAGATGGTTAACATTTTCAAATTATCACTGGTATTTTAGAATTATATAAATTGAACTGGTTAGATATATCCAACAATTGCTCTGGAAAAAAATAGGTATTTATTTGTGGAGAAATATGGCCCCTGATTATGTTTCATTTGTTCTATAAATACAAGTTCCACATGGAGGAGCAAAACCCACTGAGGAAATTTAGAAACAAAGTGAGAGAGGAATGATCTCAGGGGTTGGCTTTTGACCTTGTTCTTGGCTTCCTTTCCTGTATGTGCATACCTTACTTTATGTTCAATGTTTTAATTTTAAAAAGGTATTCCATTTTCACAGCACTTCCCCCCATCTGGTTTTGCCAAACCCAAATAATTGTGTGTCCATATTTCCTGGGAAAA